ACGGAGTGTGCGTGGCAAAAAGTAAACGAGAAACGGGGAGAAATCGTACGAAGAGTAAGGAGGAGAGGTAGGCCAAGAGATGCCTTCTTTCCGAGGACAGACGACATAAATCCATGCTTTCAATTATGCGAAATTAATTGACCGCGCCTTGTATCTTCCCCCTGCAATCTCTCTCTCTTCTCCCGTCCCTTTCTCTCTCCTTTCATACTTGCGTGTGCACGTGAGCCAAAGGTATCGTGCAAAAGGATGCAACGCGCGTCTTTGTATATAAATTTCATTGTGCCTTTCTTTGTCTGTGTTCTCTTTTATCGAGGGGATGAAGAGGTAATCTTTGCAAATACGCTGCACAGAAGAGAAGAAAATAAACACGCTCGGAGGAATCGTATCTCTGGTAAAGCTTTCGAAACTTCACTATCGCCGTATTTAAACGCGCCATTAACGTTATCGAAAGTAAAAACTAATTTTTATGTAATTAAGATCGTTTCAGCAAGAGTCGAGATACTTTCTAATTTAAATACGATATTTGAACCTGAAACTTTTTGACGATATTCATTCGTTTGTCGAATTTAATATAGTGAACATCGATCAATGCTAAGGTTCTATATTTTGAAGATTAGACATTTGTTATTGTGCTCGAGTACTTAAAAAAATTGTAAAATAAAAATAAATATGTATACGTGCAACAGAAAAATTAAGATTTTAGCGTAATTTGGAGAATTCTGAATCAACGTGAGGCAATTCCAACGATACTTGAATCTGAAACTTTTTGAAGATATTCATTCGTTTGTTGAATTTAATATAGTGAACATTGACCAGTGCTAAGGTTCTATATTTTGAAGATTAGACGTTTGTTATCGTAATTGTGTTATTGTATTAAAAGAATTGTCAAATAAAAGTAAATATTTATACATAGAACAGAAAAAATAAGATTTTAGCGTAATTTGGAGAATTCCGAATCAACGCGAGGCAATTCGAGCGATCTAAAAATCCGTACCATTGGTCCGCAATTACCCGTAATGCCCACGCAACGTAATTGCAGTTAGAAATGTCGCTCGACGGCCGGCGGTGGGTCGTTTCGGATTTCTGCGCATTCAGGCCAGGTTTCTATCTGAAAATTTCCGCGAAACGATTACGGATCCCTCGTTACACGGGCGTAATTCATCGGGATCCGTGCGTGCACGTGCAAGCGGCTGGAATCTGGTCGTATGTTAATGACAGTGAAATGACTGGCGCGTAATGTGTTGGTCGTGAAAAGGTATACGCGTACGCGCGTGTGTACCGGTCGCGACCACCGACGTGGCGCAATAATGACGCACATCTCTCGATTTTATTATTTTAATGCACCTCTGGTCGCGGCCCACGCGACTCCCATACGCATCGTCGATTTCGCATGGGAATCGTTTCATTCGAGGCGCGGTCGTCCCCGATTTCTTCTCCCCGGAGCGGCGAAAATTGCTCGTTTCGGTATCTTATTACGCCCGAAAATTCGTCCCCCCTTCCTTGCAAAAAGGGTCCGCGATCGTTCGATTTCCGTTCGAACCGGTGTCACCGAGAGCGGCCCACCTACGAAATCCTCGATCCCCTCCATTTTTAGTGCCACGATTCTCCAGCGAATAACGTCGTGTAGCTGTACTTGCGAGATCAACGATCCTCTTCCTCGGTTAAACGATTATTTTATTGTTGTTTCTCAAACTTCCTCGACTCGTTATTATTCATTTGTTCATTGTCCGCTTCAAAACTAGACTAATCTCAAACTGTCTTTCATCGCGAAACCTTGTATTGTTTCTGCAACGAGGGAGGTATGTACTTGGAAATTGTCGATCGTTATACAGATTCTAAAATCGTTCGAAAATCAAAGTATATACTTTTCTTTTTAAATTACACGATTTTCATATTGTAGCTCAAGTTTAACCTGTTCGAGGATACTGACTCACATGTGTACGTTTAGTATTTAAGTATAATAGTAACCACTAGAGTTATGAATGAATGTTCAGAGTTAAACGTTCCAATGATGTCACAGTCTCGGAAAATTGATTCGTGGATGAATATCAATTTGCATTTTTGCTTATTAACACTAGATTTATGAAAGCCGTCAATTTGATGTCTGATTCCATATTTAAAATTGCAGAGCGCGTAAATATTATTTTCTAACAACTTATGTGATGCACTAGCTTGAATACATATTCTAATTAAAAGAAAAATCGTATTGTAAGGTAATCGTCAACACGAAAGGTATCAATAAATATACGCGCGATCAATGCCCGTAAATCTAGCGTTAAGAACAGAATAATTTGGTTATTAACACTTTGACTGCCACGTCACCCATAATTGGGTGACAAGACTTTCCCATTATGGAACTAAAGCAATTCATTCTGAAATTGAAATTGAACTGTTAAATAAATTTGAATAGGACAAAGTGTAGCGAGGTTACGGTAATAAGTACCCAAGACAAATTTTAAGTTATGCAGTTTACAATTGTTTAAAATCGAAGTTTTGGTCTCGTTAAAAATTGTACAGTTTTGACAGTTTTTAACAGTCAACGTGTTAATATAAACGTTACGCCTTCTAACACGTTCTGGGGATTGATGGACTCTGCGAACATTAACTAGGGACCGCGTTGATTCTGAATATCAGAACCTTTCGAGAGATCGATACGTGTAATTACACGATGCTCTCTCTCTATGGGGTTCTTGTTACCCATGCGGTGGCGTTACAGCAAGTAGCAAGCTCGTGACACGTATTACGCCACCGTCGAAGCGCTCGTAACGTTTGTACGCCGCCTTCGAGCAAAAAGCTCTTTCGCGACCGCTTATTAGCACGCTTGTTCCTGCGTCAGAGGGATTGATGTTATAACTCGCAGACCGCGTGCAATTATGCCGACTACGTTTATTAGCTTTAGTTCTGTCCGGGCCTCATTTGCGCCGCGATTTATGCCCGCTATCGGTCTGCCCGCTTATGCCGGCTGATTGATGCTCGTAAAATATTAGGTTGTAACATGTGAAACGTTCGTTCGAACGGTTCTGCGTTCTTTGATTACGACTTGCGCGGTTAATTCGCTCTGGGGAGCTCTCTGTGCGCGTCCAATTGTACACAGAACGTTCGGCTACCGACGATTATTCTCTCGGGGGGCGATTCGACGGGTTTGCCACCCTTTCGTTGCTGAAAACGTTCGCTCTGTATTACGCAAAATTTAATTTCAGGCTAGATTTGTTTAAAACAATTTTTTTTAAATATTTATAAGCAGATATGGGGGGTAATCGTTACTTGTGGCGACGATTTTAATTGGAAATAAGTTGATAAAAATTTAATTTAGAAAATCACGAAAGTAAAGTATGGTTTAGGGCACAAATGCTTTAACACTTTGACTGCCACGTCACCCATATGTGGGTCACAGAATTTACCACTATGATACTAGAAAAATTAATTCTCAAGTTAAGATGCCGAGGGAAATAAATATGAATGGAATTTGTGAATTTTAACAAGATTACGAAAATAAGTACCGAAACAAATTTTAGCTTACAATGGTGTAAAATCAAAATTTTAATCTTCCAGAATATTATACAGTTTTCATCTGGGCAGTGAACGTGTTAATACATTTTGTAGAAATTTAAAAACTGCATCGAATGATCCAACCTAATTATATGGTTTAAATGAAAGGTTGCAGTTTTCAGATGAGTAAAAATTTATTTTCTATCCCAGCTGCAACAGTCTCTATATTATTAATATTTTATAAAAGAAGGAAAGTTTGTGTTGTTAAATTGAAAATTTGATAAAAATTTCATTAAGAAAAACATGAAAATAAACAAGCATCGTCTAGGGCACAAATGCTTTAATACAATTTGTAGAAATTTAAAAACTGCATCGAATGATCCAATCAAAATTATATAAAGATTGAGTAAAAGATTGTTTTCTATCCCAGCAGCGACAGTGTATGTATTATTAATATTTTCTAAAAGAAGTAAAGTTGATCTTTTCGTCGCCAATCCGTGGAAGGAATTCGCGGTGGGTATCACGTAGGCGAAATTGCTATCAAAATGCCGACTCGTAAGGTGGGAATCGCTTAGGCCGCAATGAAACAATGTACAAGCGCCTGGACGCTAAGATTCGTTTATAGGATCAATGTCCAGAATAATAAGAGGCCACTTGAAATTCTGCTGCCAGCTACGACCGGTTGCGTGCACGTAGCGAGCCCGGTAGGTCCCGGACAGCGACGTCCATTTCGCTTTGATGTCTGGAGAGTATTCCGTACCCGGAGCCGGCGACCACGGTAATGAATACTTGATTGAGCGTGCCGGGGGATCGTCTGTACGTAAGGCGCGACCGAAATCGAGAAATCTCTCGCCGCGCGAAATCAAAGGAGAATGCTTGATGCGCGGGTGTCGTTCCGCCCGCGGGCGAAGGAAACGCGGGCTATCGCGGCAGGGAAATCTATCGAACCGGACGCGAAAACGAACGACGACCATTTATGATGCGTTTTGATGTGTTGGGAACTGGAGTCGTGACCAGACGCGGATATGAACGAGACTAGAAAGAAAGGAAGAACTCGGGGGCACCACTCTTCGCGAGACTCCATTTTTCTTTAAACGGACAAGTGTATTTACCTTGGGAAACATCTCATTTTTGTATGATTATTTAAAACCTTTCAACGAAGAAAGCCCTGATAATTTATCAAAAAATCGTAAATCTCGCTCTGTCGATAAAGCAGAGTACCTGTAATGTAACATGCTTCGTATAGTTTTCTCATTACTTGTTGGAAATAGATCAAATGAATACACTGTGCAGTGAAACCTCGACAGTTTTAAATAACACTGAACTGGTGTTAAGAGTCTTTTCGTGCTCACGAATATTCGAAGATCGCGATGGGCTATTAGCGATGGTGTTTGAGCAAAAAATCGGGAAAGAATCCTTTATTTCGCGTTCTAGGCCAGGAGACAGACGCGTTTAATTGGTCGTGAAGTTGCCGCGACCGGAAATCTCGGAGACAAACAGGGCCTGCTTACCTGCTGGGACTTTTTGTTGGGCGCGGTTTCCGGGCATTCCGGGTCCGTCGGGTCGAGACACGGCTTGCTCTGGTAGGCGTTCGTTATCCCGGCCCTCTTCATGTAATCCTCCAGCGTTTTGAACGGAAACGCGAACGGCAGCTTCTTCATCTCGTCCAGCATCCACGACGGATTGAGATTCGTCCACTGGACCGGCTTGTTCGTTTGCGCCCCACTGCCATGAAACGATAAACGAGAGAACAAAAATGAATTATTCTGTCGTAACGTATCAAACGTTTACTTTGCTAAAAATAAAAAAAGATTCCCTCAAAGGATTTCTACAGCAAAACGATAAACGGAGAGAACAAAAATTGAATTATTCTGTCGTAACGTATCAAACGTTTGCTTTGTTAAAAATAAAAAAAGATACCCTCAAAGTGATTTCTACGGTAAAACGATAAACGGAGAGAACAAAAATGAATTATTCTGTCGTAACGTATCAAACGTTTACTTTGCTGGAAATAAAAACATCATTCCCTTAAGGGGATTTCTACGGTAAAACGATAAACGAGAGAACAAAAATGAATTATTCCGTGGTAACGTATAAAAATAAAAGAAGGATTTCTACAGTGAAACGCGTATTTTTGTCCAGCCTCGATTTTAAGGTCCTCGAGTATCTTAATCGGCGACAAATTCGTCGGAGCAAGCAAATTACATCCACCGAGGGGCATTTGCATTAAACAGTTTGATCCTCGTCGATAATCGCGGAATGCGAGCCGATCGGCGATTAATTTTATCCGTTTTGCCCCGTGAATTAATTTGCGAATTTAAGCCGCGATCTACCTCGCTACGGAAGCGGCCGGTTCGCGCGACGAAATCATTCCCCCGGACAATAATTTGCAATCGAAGACGGTGCTTTTTCTTGTACTTACGGTATGTGGACGGGATACTCCGGTCCCAGGAGCTTGCTGCCTTCCCAGAAACAGTCGAGGGGCGTAATGATGGCGCACGGTATGATACTATCGAAGATCTAAAAACAACGGTCCATCAGCGTGCCTGAAGAAAATACTTTCGGGTTCGATTGAAAAATTACGGGCGCGACCGGTACAGCGGAATAATCGATTTAGCGAGTTCGATTAACGAACCGTCGATCGTCAAATTATATTGTACTCTCGATCGACTTAATACAATTTTCATCCTCGTACCGCGGAGGGCAGGAACGAAATTATTATGATTCCGCGCGTTTAATCATCGTCATTATGTAACTCGTACCGTTCCCGGCTCCAATTTACGATAATTTCTCCTAAATATATAATGTGCAATGCTACAATGCGAAAATTAACGAAGAGTCTAACAGTCGCGAGCAAGTTTACTTCGCTAAAAGTAAACGTTTCGCCATTGCAAAATTTTTTATTCGATCTTATTTTTAATCGGAGCAAAAATTTATGAAACTCGACCTGTACGATGCGTTTGAATTTTATAAAACAAAACGTTGATAGGTGAACTAATGGACCCAGGACGTAAGGTCGGAACGTTTACGTTTAATAACTTAAACTACACTTGTGAATGCTACATTCCTCATTGATCATTTCTCCTTTTCTCCGATAGTGGACACTAACGATCGCCATAAGGTTTTTCTTGGTAGCGGGGCATTATTAGGGGCTACCTGTGCGTTCTCAGAAATTCGAATAGGCCGCTCAACCGACGAGTCGTCTCGCTTTCTTTAGCGGTCCATTTGATTTACGAATAATACGAATTTTGGATAGAAGTTGGGGAACGCCGTGGACATTTGTCAAATTGTCCTTTCGATCCCCCGACAAAACAGCGCGGTAAAATTAAATCGAGGACGTATTGAGTGTCTACGGTGTCCGTTCGCCTCTTTCTTCTGAATTTATTGGCTCTATTTTATATCCGACACCGAGAACAGAGCGGAGCATGCGTTTTATCCGACTAAACGTGAAACGTAAACTGAGATATCGCATCGGACGTTGCCAATTCAATTTGAGGTATTATTTTTGGCCATTACTTTCTCATTTCCTCGTACTTTAAGGTACATGTTAATCTTGTTTTAACGGTCTATATACTGTATTATTTATTAATGAACTGTATTACTACATTACCCATGGTTTATTAACAAACAAAAACAAATTTTAAAGAAAAATTGACAGGAAATAAGTGTCTAAATTTTTCGGTGAAAAAAAAAAATTCAAATCGTCCTAAAAAAATTATTTTAAGTTGTGGGAGTCAATTACAATCATTTTTGGTCAATAGATATACTCTCGAAATCCTAGGCATTTTCAAGAAAAAAATTCAGGAAGGTGGACAAATTTTTCGGCGAAAAAAAAAATTTCAAATCGTTCTAAAAAAATTATTTTAAGCTGCGGGAGTCAATTACAATCATTTTTGGTCAATAGACATATCCTCGAAATCCTAGGCATTTTCAAGAAAAAAATTCAGGAAGGTGGACAAATTTTTCGGCGAAAAAAAAAATTTCAAATCGTTCTGGAAAAATTATGATCGGTTGCGGGGGTCAATTAGAAGCATTTTTGGTGAATAGACATACCCTCGAAATCCTAGGAATTTTCAAGAAAAAAATTCAGGAAGTTGGACAATTTTTTCGGTGAAAAAAAAAAATTTCACATCGTTCTAAAAAAATTATTTTTAGTTAAAGGGTTCAATTACAATCATTTTTGGTAAATAGACATACCCTCGAAATTCTAACCATTTTCGAGAAAAAAATTCAGAAAGTTGAACAAATTTTTCGATGAAAAAAAAAATTTCAAATCGTTCTAAAAAAATTATTTTTGTTTGCGAGGGTCAATTAGGAGCATTTTTGGTAAATAGACATACCCTCGAAATCCTACGCACTTTCGAGAAAAAAATTCTTTACCGAAAATAGCCAAAAATGCTTCTCTGAAATTTCATGCGTATGTTTAAAACATTATACCTCTTGAACGGATTGGGAGATTTTAATGTTTAAAAATGCAAACAACGCGTATTTTGGTGAAGAATATTTAGAAATTTGTGGAAGCTTCGAAAAGTTGTTCCTTAACCCCGTAAACTGAGAAAAACTTCATAAAAATAGTCCAATTTCTCGTTTGTATCACTTCATAGGTATAGTCCAATTACAGTCCCGAGTATGCCGGATAATCGAAATTTTACAGTATATGATGCTGTACATACTACTCTATGTACCTAATTATTTACTTTTGTAGATATTACTGTAGACTATCTTTTGCTGAATTTATTCGAATTAAATGGCGAAAGTAAAAGGAAAAAATTAAGATTGCGTGCATTCCTGGTGCAAAATCTCTTAACGAATTCATAGAGCAGGAAGCGTCGAAGCGACAGAAACAGGAAAAAGGGAGGACAAGGACAACGAGCTCATGAAATAGGTATTTACTGCTCTTGGCTCGCATTTGCGTATAATAAGGACGAGGGAGGAGCAAGAATACGGACCACACATGACACGCTGTGCCGATACCCCGTCATTATGCGAAGCTAATTGCACTGCCGCCCATTTAGCTTAGACCTTGCTCATAATTCTACCCTCTTCCCCCTCGCCATTCTACGTTCATCGATGTTTTTCATTCACCGATCGTTTCCTTTTCGACTCGAGTTTCAATTTGCACGATCCAAGTTAAAACCAGAGCAGCCTGGACGATCGAAACGTTTCGATCCGGAATTTTAGTCGCGAGAATTCGGAATTCGTTTGTACCAATTCCGTGGCGCATCTCGAACACAATCGATCACGTTCTGTACATTTATCGCGACAATTTTAAGAGAATACGATAATAGCCTGAAGGTTTTATGGAACAATAAATCAATCATAATTTATGACACACTAAATTTCACGTAGTTTGAATGCTCGTAAAGAATACTGCGTAGAACGTATAAATTTCGAGACACCGACGAGGACAAATACGTTTGACGAGGCAACGTGCCTGCAACACTGCAACCGCAGAAGCTCCGATGATTTCTCCAGTTGCATACGCGCAGGCTGCAATCGACACACTCGGTGTATCGATTCAACTTTCCCCTCTGTGCATCGTTTCACCCGAAATCTAATCTTCTAATTAATTGATTTATTAAATTTTAAACAAACAACGAATTCGATAAATTACTGTGCGTATAAATTGGCTATCAGCGACTTCGAGCATCAAAAACGAAAAGCGCGTTCGCGTTAAAAGTGAAACACCCTGTACCTGGCTGCAGGATAATAATATTCCTGTTTGTCTGAGATACAGGACACCGCCATGTGATTTAGTCGGTTGCTCGGGGCGATTCTTGGATACCGGAACATCTATCATTTGACATAAATTTTTCAATTGAATCTCGATGAATCGCATTAGCGCTAACGTTCTTCGACCGATCTGGACTTACGATCTCATCGAATTTAACGCTATCGGTCCTTGTCGACAACTTCTATTCAGATTCCGTTCGTACGAAACTTCGTATCGCGTAAATCGTTTGATCTTTAGGCGTTATTTATAAATTTTATTCGTTATTCGTATCGTAGCAATTCTATTCGTTACTAATTTGCGACCGACGAAAAGCAACTGTCGCTCGAATTGGATCCAGCCCATCTTTGGTTAATTCGACGTGCCTTTTCCGACCGTACGTTCTCGGAATAATTAACGCAATTTAAAACAGGCGTCGGGTGTGCCCTCGAGCTGTTAACTCGCTGAATCGACGCGGATTTAGAAGATCAAAGAAAGCGAGCGTGGAGATAATCGGTCGTTCCCCAAAGGCGAGACAAATTTAGTATTGGAACGTAAAATCGAGTACTCTCGAGAAACGCCGCTCGTAACGTCACGGAAGTGGCATTCGACACGCGGCGTCTCTGATGTGACTGACGGTTTTCCTTTTTCACTCGGCCCCGGTATGCTTAGGGATGTTTTAACGCGTCTGCTCGTTAGCAACGCAAGAAACGACCGCACCACACGTGACCAGACACGCACGTCTTGATCCAATATAGAGCCGCGGGTACGACTTTTCGTGCATTGTATTGAATTTTCGACGTTTACGACTTCGCGCGAGCCACCGGGGAACGACTCAATAACTGGATATCGAGAAACAAAAATAAAGTGTCGCGGAAACCAGGAATTCCTAGCGATGGAAACGATTCTCTTATCGTGCCTCGCGGAGAGCAATTTACCCGCGTTTCTCCTCTGCAAATCGTCGAGTTCCACCTGTCCACCTTAAATATTTCACTCGTTTCTGATGATCGCAGAAAACGTCGCAGGGAAACATTAGTTAACTCGATAAGGGGTTGTTCTGCCGTGAAACGCGTATTTACTGACATTTGTTTCTTCAAAGTAAGTTAATAACATAGTCGAACAAACAAAAAGGTATTCATTTTTAAAGGTATTTTGTTGATTTCGATGCTCAGAATAATAGAATTCCTCGACGTAAGGGAGATATAAAACGTGAAATTTGTCTGGGTGGTGGATCGAGTAACGATCGCGAGTGTCGTCGTAGCCATCGCTAGGTTCGTGATTTCCTAACAGAAATCGAGAAGTCGCAGTACGTGCGCAATAACGCGGTATCGTACTTCACGCGTCGAATACGTGAATAGTTACGAACGCGTCGCCGATACACGCACACGGTTACGTATCACCTACATATAAAGTAGTGGTAGTTTTAAATTACCTGGTCGATGTAGTGCATGTCGAAGTTGGGTATGTTCAGCGCGTAACACATGTCTTTCAGCCTCCACGTGCTGCAAGCGACACGGAACACATGCATTCATGAATACAAGTTTGCATCCCTTTAACCCCCGTCCCGCCGATAAGCGGCTCGGGGAGCTCTCCAGAAAAACTTGAAACGATGGCAGTCGCTTCTCTAAGCCGCTCCCCGACACTTATGGGGTGTCCGCGAAGTTTGCAAGAAAGAGGGGCGAGCTATCGCCGATGCCAGGTCGTTCGCGTGATCTACTCCTATCGGCGAGCACCGATTAGATCTCTGAGCTTCGATCGGTACGGTCAGGATCGAAGTGACTCGTAATGCTTGATCAAGTTGCGTTCGTAAGTTCGATTCACCGAGTTTTCTACTTCAATTTTGCATTTTATTTACATGTGCATATTTTTTTAGCAAATAATGTGTAAATAAACTGTCGTGTCTTTGTTAAAAATGCTTCGAGTATAACGAAATTCGCTCGTAGAAACCTCGCGAAGGGTCAGGGACGGCCGTTCTTTCTTGCCCACTCGCGGACATTTCGAATTCCCGCAAAAAAGTAGAATGAAGAGAGAAAAAGGTCCTTACATTTCGAACAGGTGTACGGTAACCTGCGTCGCCGCCTTCAGGATCGCTAAATGTTCCTTGAGTGCGGCAGGGTGCAAAATATTCGCCCCGGAATGCCTCGGCGTTTGGATGACGAGCTGATGCGTCGAGGCGGCTGCTTCACCCAGTTCCGTCGAGGCGTAGGTCAGCTCTTTTTGTAACCTTCCGCCTTCTGCGACCGAAAAAAACAATCACGACACGTCAGTTACAATTTTAAAATAGCCCCATCTGTTAAAGAAACGCTAACCAAATGACGTAAACATCGAGATCAAACAGAAACAAACAGCTTCCTTGTGCAAAAAGGAATCGAAAAGTCCTTTACCGTTTTGCGATCTGTGGCTTCGTTTTCGAGATACGAGTAGTTAAAGTTTACCGACGCCATTTTTGGCGCGTGCTCTTTGAATCCCAACGTGCGCGACGGCACATGCGCGCACGACAAACACGTGCCCATGACATCTTCGCGTGTAAGAACTTTGACTCCCCGTACCTCAAAAACGAGAACTCTGATCGAAAAATGGTAAAGGACTTTTCGATTTCTCTTTGTCTAAAGAATATTATGGCTCGGTATGAAATTCTCTGTGGATAAACTATGGCTCTTTCAGGGATCCTAATATACTTATACAATTTATTCAATCTAAGTATCGCTCACAATTATTATTATCGAGCCCATCTTAGGTCAGATTGAGACTCAAATTGTATCTAAATGTATTTTTAAAAAAGATTTGTTTTCTACTATAATTATATAAATATATTTAGTTCTTTTTTATGTATGCCAATTACATCCACATTATTTGACCAAAGTAACTAAAAATTATAATACGAAACATAACAAACAATAATATCCGAAAAAGCATATTATTTATTTGAAGGCTATTCGAGCGATCGCCACACTGTATCTCCTCTACGCGTGTAGCTTTCATTATTAGCGAGTAATTTTCAATAACGCCGGGTATAAGGTTTGGAACACAGCTGTCTTCCTTCAAACCGGAACGCGCTACCTGAGCCTTCCGGCGAACGGACCCACGTTGGAGCAGTCACGAACTCCGTCGCGATTGACTGGTTGCTTTATTCGCGACTCGTGCCACTTTAAGCTTTCGGCGGCTTGGTAATGTTTATGCTTCAGGACGATTCCTCGAAGAGAAACATCGACCGTGGCCAGTATCGTAACACACGTTTCTGCGGCTTTACGGATATACCGAGAAAAATTTCTGGCAGGGTACCAATGAAAGCGTTCCCAGAAGAAGACATAGAAATAGCTCTGTTATGGTTCAAAACGTTCGTCCTCCGGCGAAACGGCGAACCCATCGATCTTATTTAAAATAAGTAATCGATGACACTTTCGCGAGAAATGCGACGCACCGTCGATTGTTTATACGAGCGTAATTAGTTGACTGATGGCGGAACTATTAGCGTTACGTGCAATTAGAATCGTGGACTCTGTGATACAGTCCTTCCACTACTGCATTAGATTGAACAACGAAAATAATCTCCGGATAAGTGAAATATTTTTTCACCAGATAACTGCAATTAAACCATTTCAGCCATCATATATATTTATTCAGCGAAAATAATAAAGTACGTAGAAAGTATTGAATTTCATTGTTTAACAAACTTTTAAAAACTTGCTATATTTTTCATCGAATATTTATAAAAGTATTACCAGTGGATTGGCGATGCTTGTCCGATGAAAATGAGTCCAAACACGACCTAGTTTGGACTACTTTTGGTCAGACATGATTGACGGATTTTCAAAAATGGTACAAATTTCGTCTAATTAAAAATAGTCCAAACATGGTCGTGTTTGGACTCATTTTCGCCGGAAGAATCTCACGAATCCATTGGCAACGATTCCATAAAGATATGATAAAAAATTCTAAAATACTGAAGACGATTGTACAAATATACTTAATTTCTACAACGATGCCCCGAAAAATACTGACCCGAACTTCTGGTTGATGAAGTACACATTCACTCAACGGTACTTCAAAAGATATTGGTATTCATTTTCATCTACATCTAAACTTCCGGTCGTCTAACCCGTTCGCATACTATTTTCGGCGTAGTCGGTTCCCTGCCACGATACTCTAACAAACTATTTTATTTTCGACGTCACTGATGAGAACAATGTTTTTTGTTCATTTTCATCTTGTTCCAAACTTCTGGATAGAGTATTTTCATTGACCACCAAAATCACGATCGGGGTCTATGGTCGTAGGCAAGAAGTTTGAGTAGGGTGGGCAAGGAGGGGTGTCCTGGAATGGACCAAAAGCGCAAACCGAAGATACGTATATTCATCAGAAAGTAACGCAGGAAGGGCACGGGAATGACGTCTGACACGGGGTACGTCGGGATCCCACCTAGTCAGATTTCACCGTCAAAAATGCCGACGGCGTATTTGCTCGTTCCGCCACGGCGCGGCCTCCGGAGACCACCCGTGTTGCCCGCTATCAAGACGGTTCTCAACCTTCCACCACGTACTCCTCTTACAGGCTCGTCCAAACGGGACTGTCGAAGGAATCGGGCCCATTGGTCGACGGAGAACCACCTGGAAGAGTCAACGGGCGGTCTTTCGAGCCGATATTCAGGGATGTACGAGTGGAAACGAACGTACGGGCCTCAATCGTGACCAATCTGAGGGACAGGGACGAATACCGTGATCGTAAACCTCGAAGGACGAACAATAATGAGGGCGGCGCGAAGAAACAACGACCTGGGTTACTGTGCTTGCTCGCTGGCTCTCTGTCAGATTTCGACGTTTCGGCTACGAAAAAATCACGAACATTTTTATTAGACAAAGAGATTTCAAAGTCGAGGCGACCGTAGATAAAATTGGGTTTGTAGGGCCTCGAGGAGCTTATGAAATATTCGGCACGCTTTTTGTAGCGTCGGATCGTTTTAAAACGTCATCCTAAAATCCCCTGTGTCTAGACAAGGAGCTAACAGCTGGTTCGTGGAGGGTTAATTAGTTGTTCCTTACTTTTGTTTTATTTGTACAACGAGCTTCTTTGAAATTGGACGACTCATTGCTTAATTTTGAATTTTATATCGGGCACACAAGTCTGTCAAATTTGATCCGATTATTGGATTATTATGCAAAGCGATTCGGTAATAACAAGCGGAAAGAAATCCCAAATTTTTAACAAGTTCGAGGTCATAAATCTAAAAATGCTAGTCTCGCTAATCGACCAATTAAATAGTTGACTCGAAAAAAAATGCTTTCGGCATAAACGTTTGAATTGTTACCAGCTAACGAAGCGGATAATTAATCAGAAATAATTGCCTGTATTAATCAACGCTCTAATCTATGGACTGTTTATATAATGAACGCGTATCATGATGTGAGTTAATGAAAGTCGTTATGAAGCATTATGTAATATAGTTCTAGGGGGAACGTTCGTGGATGCTGGAGGAAAAGATACTGTTCCAAGACAGAAGGGTCATCGTGACCGACCTGGGTAACAGGGACAGATACTCTGACCGTAAACCTCGAGGGACGAACAGTAATGAAGGGGGCGTGAAGAAGAAGGGAACATGATTGCGCACGTTCGACCTTTTCCTTCCTCCTTCCTCTTTTACCCTCCCTGTTACCCCGTGGAATGTCGAAAACCGCTACGTATCTTTTTTATTTTAGCGATAATATAACCTTACCCTAAACGTGGACTCTAAAATAATAGAACTATTCGTGCTAATAATTTTACGTGAAAAAATAAATCGAGACTGTGAGGTAACATTTTTTCGTACGAGGCTTCGTTTTCGACAAAACGGACTTTGAATTTGTTTTGGGGGACGCGAGCGTTTTACTAAAATTCGATTCAACGCGTCTGGCTATAGACATAGTTACTATTGCTTCGAATCGGAATTATTATTCTCTTATAATCAACTTAGGAACGTGCAAAAAGATCAAAGAAAGATTTAAAGCACACCCGTGCCCCAAACAGCTTCGAGCTCGATTTTCTCGCGAACGAAGCAGCGGGCGAGAAAACGTCATCCCGCGAGATCGATTCATTTTTTCGCGTAGAATCGTTTCCGCGTCTTGGTCGTGCTCGTCGCGGGACACCATGTACGCGATCGCGCGATGAAAGTTATTTCGCGCGGTGCATAAAGAGCGTGTCGGACTCGTCCGACCGAAACGAGCTAAATTTTGTAGACGCGACGACTATCCGGCGACCTCGGGGCGACGGGAGGATCGTTTCCTTACGGACGGAATCACTTGCAACGAGTTTCTCAGCCACTCGTGCCGCCCACGTGAAACCGAGGCGTTACGAGGCGCGGCGATCCTAGGTCCCTGCTCGGCGGAAGATGAATCAACCTGTAGAATGCGGCGGACCATCGAGCGTAATAAAGACACTACTCTCTACGCTCTACGTAGCAAGAAACATGCGTCTTAACGGAGGAAAGCACGATAAAGATGGAGAGAGAGAGAGAGAGAGAGGGGGAGCCGGTGAGGCAGGATCGAGACAGAACGACTGAGAGAGAGAAAAACGAGGGAGGGAATAGGGGGAGGAAGGCAGAGTTATCCTGTGATTCAGCAGAGAGAGAAAGATAGATACGAGGAGTCCTGGGAGGTAGAGAAAGGAAGGGAGGGGACGCATCTTGATTTATCGGCGGGTAGTCTCTGTAATTATTTCTCCGTCCTTGTCTGGTTCACGGGGGCGAGACGCGTTCCCGTTCTATCTGCACCCTTCCGGCTACCGTGATCGTACCGTGTAAGAATCCGCCTCGGTCTCCGTCCCTCTGGGACACCTTTTGAATGGCTGCGTCTTTCAGCCTCGTCGACTGTCTCATTCACCCGCCGCGATCCACGGGAACAGAACGATTCTTACCGTTCCCTCTCGTTCGGTGTCCGATGGTCATCAGTCACGTTTCGTTCGCGGTTGAATAGCGGATATCGACGCAAAGACGCCGCGGGACAACGCGACTACGTCCCCTCGGTTGTAACAGTAACCACCGCCCGGTCGAGCGTTCGATTTCCTGCCGCGACTGTACCACGGGAGTAAACGCATTAGCGTGGACGATCCCAGTCGACAAAATCGAACGAAACGGGTATCATTTCCGCTTTACGAGCTAACGAGCACCTTCAAAATTGCACGTACCGCAAAATAATTACGCAAGCGCGGCGACGGAATCCCACCCCGGGAATAAAATGACCTCGTTCTCCCACATGCGACAGTC